TATTTGTATTCAAAATACACTGAATTTTATCTATTATTTCACACAAACTCTTCATTGCATTTAATTTACTCTTCATTTCAATTAACGAAACACTTGTTAATTTTGAACACATTTTATATTTCAAATAAAACTTCTAACTAAACAATAATTAAAACAAATTAACTTAACTTTAAGTTAAATAAACAATTAATTCAATAAAACAAAAGTGTTGTTCACTTGTGTTGTATTAAAATAAATAATTTCCACGTGTTTTTAAAACTGCATTTTCATGACAACCAAAACCTGTTCCCAGATATCAATCATAGGATCTCATCAAAACTCATACAATAAAGTAGTGTTTGGACTAACGATTGTTACTCGTATTACGCGCTCAGTTTAGAGCCAATCAGACAGTGTGTCAACTGATACAGTGGCCAATCATCATAAAGTTAGCAGGGCACCGCCAGTAAGGCATCGAATAAATGCTATGCGAAATAGTCGTGCAATAAATATGAGGTCAACTGTACTGAGCGTATGGGTCGCCACCAACGGCTGGATAGGAAACGCTTGCATAGACTGGTGTTATGGCTGTCGGTGTATATAATGGCCGACAAACCGATGATTACGGCGTAAACCCCGGTATACACCATATGGACGGCCATAAGCGCCTGCGAGTGTACAGCACCGGGCATTAGTCCGCCGCTAATCACCGCCATTATAGCTGTAGACCCGGCGATGATTGTCGGCCACAAACGGTGGGCGCGGATGTGTTTATTAAGCTGGTTATCGAGGACAAAATAGCCGTATAATAGGCCGGCCAGGTATGGGACACAATGGGTGAATGGTTTAATTTGAACTGTTTTATATCTCGATTTGATCCTGGTGTAAAATTCAATACATTATAGAGTATAAAAATAACATTTATAACAAAGTTTCATACAGATAATTGGTAGTGTAGTCAATATATAAAGTTGTGACCATGCACATTAAACCTGTAATTATGATAGCCATAATACCAGTTTTGACATTTCTATGTATAATAATTATTTTTTAATTAATAATTAATTCATAATTTATATGAACTAGATTAAATTACCGATACGTCAGATATATTAAAACCGGAGTTAACAAAACAAATTGAATTAACACACAAAGCGACCATGATGCTGAGAAGCACTACAAAGTATCAATATAACTAACTTATGTAACAATTATATAATAAATAATCATGCTTAACTTACCATTTTTGTGTCAGGATTAAATTAGCCACAAATGTTAACTGAATAGGCATTTGAGTTTGACATAAGCTAACAAATTGTCGATTATAAGGATTGTGCTGGGTGAAATATATTACATTCATCGCCACAAAGTAAAGAGATTATATCTTTATAATTATAATTATATCTTTATAACAAGATATAATAGATGGGAATTATGCGCAAAATTCGGTCAAAATAATAACGTGTCGTAATTTGTGTAAACGTTTTGTGCCGATTGCCGTCCAATTGGTGTCGAAACCATTTGCCACATGCGATACCGTTGAGCATAAATGTGATGTCCATTATAACAGACATTGCATTGGTTTCAATTAACCTGTTTGAAATCATTTTGAACATGGTTCAAGCAGCAATATGTAATACTGTTAAAGCGATTTAAAATTAATTTATTGAGAGAGAGAGAGAGAGAGAGAGAGAGAGA